CCCCAAAACCCCAAAACCCCAAAACCCCAAAACCCCGGAAGAAATATTAAATATTGAAATACCTTTGACATACTTAACATTGAAGGAAACAATTGGGTTATTCAGATTTAGCATTGATCTTAACACCCAGTTCACTTGCCTTTGCAAATACTTCAGCCATGATATCCTTAGGTAAATTTAGAAACTCTGGTGTCTTGATGACAGGTCCGAAATTATCGATGATGAATTCATGACTTTGCTGCTGTAAACTTTCTGCTTCAATCCCAAGATCATTGGTCTTCGATAGAATGGCAGCTGCGTTTTCAACTCTGATGTTTTTCAATAAGTACTCTTCACACTCAAATATTAGCTTCTTGATGCCATATTTCAGAGCTAATCAGAAGACATCCAGGAGGACAAAAGTGGTGAACTCTGGCACATTCTGGACCATACCAGTGTAGATGAACTCTAGTAAAATTTTGAATGCTTTCGGGTCACAATCGTTGATTTCTAGAATTTTATGTGTAGCACAATTAGTCCCTACAGCTTCTCGGATTAGGTCATCTGACTCAGACGCCTCAGCATCTATATGACGAGAAAGAGATTTTCAACGCGCATGGATTATACAACGATTAGCATGAAATAGCTCTTTTTGTACTTGAAAGGAAATATCAGAACGTGATGGATCTTCAAGGAGCTTCCGCATATCGAAGGATAATGAATTTACTTTTGGAAACCTGTCATTGACCAGGACTATGGTGTGATAGAATCCACCAGCAATGTCAGTAGCTTTCTTGTCTTTAAAGAAGTAGATCAGCCTGGGGACAGTAATATTATCTTTATTTCCATGGCCAAGCTGCCCATGGTTACCTCTTCCAAAAGTAAATACATGGCCTGTCTCACTCAACAGAATAGAATGGTAACAGCCACATGCTATTTTAGCGATCTTAATGCCTGTAACTCTCATATATTCCTTTAACATTGACGATCCACTGGAGGTTAGAATGATAACTTACCTAGAAGTTTTATAAGCATCACAATGTGAACCAAAAATTCCTTGTAAAGTCATCGGAACATCAAACTCTTTGATCTCCATGGGAGACTTTATAGACGAGAAGCCATCCTCGTTGATCCCTCATTGGCCTTTATCATTCCTTCCAAAGGAGTAGATATCTCCATTTTGGAGTTTAGCAAGAGTGTGGTAATATCCACAAGAAATATCCTCCACTTTTTCATCCTCTAGAGATTTTACAAGCACTGGTTTGTTTTTCTGAGTATTGTTTCCGATACCTAGCTGCCCATTATCATTAAACCCAGTGCTATATACCTTCCCATCATTAGTCAGGAAGACTGAGTGATGGAGCCCACAGGCTGCCTTGGTGATGACTATTGAGTTTAGCGAGGAGATTAATTTAGGAAGGAAACTGTGGGTCGTATTCTCTATACCCAATTGCCCATTATCATTCCTCCCAACAGAGTAGACTGATGTCTTTGAAGGAACCTCATCTGTTTGTAAAGCATCTTCTGATTCATCTATAGACAATTTTAGGACTTGTTTGGGTATGGTTACAAAAATCTGAGAGAAAAGTTATCAAATACGATTTAAATCTGAACTTACTAATGACAAAGATGGTATGATAATAGCTGCATGCTACATAAGACACTCATCTATTTTTGAAATCATCAAGAGTAGTTGGCTCTAGTAGATTTACTTGGTTTCCGTTTCCTAGCTGTCCATAATTATTATACCCACAAACAAAGATTTCTCCCTTTTCGCTGACTAGAGATAGATGCTCTCATCCATTGGCCGAGGAAATGAATGATAGCTTTTTCTCGCTAAGGGATTCTACAACTCTAGGGAGATGTCAGGATTTAGTATTTCCATGTCCAAGTTGTCCACTCCCGTTAAAGCCAAATGTGTACACCTTTCCATCCTTGGCTAAGGCTGCTGTATGCTCATTCCCTGCTGCAACCTGTGCAATATCAATATTATCAAAGAAGGACAGCTTAGTTGGGATGTGCCTTTCTTCAAGGTCTCCAATACCAAGTTCTCCATAAGAATTTTGCCCAAATACATAAACTATCGCTCCTGTATCATCATCTAGCACCTTAAAAGAGTTGAGCCCTCTCTTCCTTGTCGTAGTACTAAAACTTTCCATGTTTGTGAAATTATTTCAATTTCAGACAAAATATTTGGGGTTTTGGGGTTTTGGGGTTTTGGGGTTTTGGGG